CTCCAGGCTTCTGTCCACTTCCTTTTGCCAATGATATCTTTCCCTGACAATTTAACAAACATTTATTGAAGGTTTACTTGGCTAAATGCCTAAAGTGAGGTAGGCCGTAGATGTGTTTATACAAAAATGTTAATGGGTTGGCGCTCCTAGACCAAAGTAGGAATAACTTGGTAAGAGATTGTTTAGGCAGAAGGGAATCTCAGTACAATCATTTTAGTGTCCTCTCTTATAAAGAAGGCTCTGGGGTCATGGATTATCCTAGAGTACTCTATCTTTCCCTGCTAATGGGAACACAAATTTCTTCCTAGAAACTGTTCTGTGGGAGAAACATAACAATCTGCTTCCATAAAGATTACAACTTTGGAAATCCCGTGGGCAGTTCTACTCTGCCCTATAGGATTGCTATTAATTGGAATCTACTTGACAGCAACGGAGTTTAGTAACCTGGATGAGGTGGATTAAATAATTTGATGGTTAAATATTTCTACTCATATTAAAATGTTGCCTCATAATATTATTACTTTTTCCCCCCAGAGAAAATGCTGAGTTAAAATTGAGCTTATTCATTTCTTTCAGACTTCTCTGACATACTTGACTTTCCGAATGCAGCTGTGAACCTTGAACCTTCACTTCTTGAAAAAAAAAATCCTTTCCCCATGCGATACTGTATTTCATTTTATTATTTAGCATTCTTTAAGTTGCCAAAGCAGCTCATTAAGACCATTTGAGGATAAGCTCGTATGCATAACAATAAGCATTGAAGTCCTGTGTTTGGTGATATCAATGACATTCTTCTGGCTGCAAGACAGGAAGGGCACTGGAGCAGAGGAAGACAAGAATTTCCATTCAATTGACCCCCTCATTCATACATTCCCACTATTATATTTGCAAAACAGCATCTATTTGGCCTCTATTTCTTTGATTATTAGTTTTTGGGAGGTATCTTGAATGTCTCTCCCATTTAATGTCAGCAGAGCCATAGTAGAGACTCACAAGGGAAGTAATTCTGAACCTTTACTGAAAGGCAAATGCAGAAAGCCTTCAACAAAGTTTAGATTTAGCAAATGCATGCCTATTAGAGTTAAGTCAACAGACCCGCTGACTACGCCATATGGTAGAGTTAAGTGAGCAAGGACAAATCACGATCTTGAGGCAGAGTCTGTGTAACATACCAGCGTTGTACATCTAATGTGTACATATATGCATATGCCCAATGATGGCGTATCTACATTGTGTGTGTATGAATATATGAAGCAACATGAGGCTCTTGGCAGCCTGACTCCAGCAAGAACTAACCAAGTAAGGGAGAGTCATTCCCTTTTCCACAAAACTGTCGTCCTATTAAGTTTTTATTGGTACCATTACACTTGTCACCACTAAAAACTTAATAGGATGACAGTTTCATGGAAAAGAGAATGACTTTGCTTGCCATAACATCTTTGACTTAGGGCCATGGTTAGAGTTAAAACTCAACGAAAACAAGTCAAAACAGTGGTTTGACACCACTCAGCCAAGTTGCAAGCTTACAGGCCACAAAGCTGATACTTAAAAAGTATTGGGTCAATAAGCATTCAGGCACCATGCCAAGTCCAGGGTATATATTAATGAACAAGAAAGGCACAACAGGACCCCTGCTTCCATGAAGTTTACAATCAAAAAGTCCTACTGAGAGGGTATCTGCTTTCTCTGGGATGGTAAGTTACTTTCCAGACTTTGCACCTTATCGGTGTAAGGGCCAAGCAATAGCTGGGATTGATAGAAGCCTTTGGTGAGATAATTTAGAGCCCAATACATAGGGTTTAAAAATGTTTTTTGCACCAGTGTACCTTCCACACTGTAGCACACATCTGGCTTTTTAAATGGAGTGGTGTACTGCCTAAGGCACTTGACTGCTAACCAGAAAGCTGGTGATTCAAACCCACCAGGCGCTCCTCGGAAGGAAGGTTGGGCCATCTACCTCCGTAGTGATACCAACTTGGAAACCCAAGGAGGGGTCGCTATGAGTTGGATCTGACTCCAGGGCAGTGGCTGCTGCTGCAATACCCTCATTTAGCTCTTATCTGTAACTGGCAGGGTGAAACTAGAAACTCTTGTTGTTAAAACTGAAGTCCTTTTCTATATACTGCTTCTGTCTCTTTAAGGTTGGAAGCTCAGCCTTCATTCTGTTTAATCTATCACTGATAAAGTTATTATGTAACCCAGTGTCTGTTAAATGAGCTATAAAAAACACCTTAGAAATACAAGGGGATTGCATTGTGACCTGTAGGTCAAAGTTAATTCCAGGTAAGAGGATGGAGATGGAGATATGCTGGTTGTTTCTATGTGAATTCTGATGACATTAATTTAGAATTCCTTTCTATGCAATCTTTGTAGAGGACACAGTTTAGGTTATGGATTCTTCAATCTAGTGATTGTGCTGTGCACAATAGACCCCATCAAGAACCTGCAGAGGTGATAGAGTTGGGGGAAGCTAACTCCAGCAAAACCAGGAAAGTACTCAAAGAAGGTAATCTGAATAATTATACTGGAAACTGAGGTTGATCCCAGCAAACCAATTATGCATGACTCTACTTTGGAAATTAAATCTTGATGTGAAGTCAACCCTCCAAGAAAAATCCAGGATCTGGGACTAGATAAAACTAAAATGTACACTTAACCTAAGAAAATAGTTACCACTAACAACTGCTGTAACAGGCCCAAGCCACCTCCTGATACAGCACATACCTTTTGAAAATGAGTAATCACTATTGCCCTCATTATCTGCCACCTCAGGTAATTATGTATTTGCTAGAGGCATGTGTACATCATGTTGGGAGCACAGGGGAGCTCTCATCCAGCCTAGTGAGATGAACTAAAGTAAAAACAGGACAGGATACGGTAGAACTTCCAGGTGAAGGGACCAAGAGTAAGTACACAAGTGTCAGCTTTTAGGGGAAATCATAAGCACCTCACTGCTCTGATGCAAGTTACAGGTATACCCAAAGACGAGCCTGGAAAGGTAGGGCCCGCCTAGTACAGCCAGCCTCTAGAGTTTAGTGAAGGTAGCAACGTGGTCAATATTTGCTATTTAGATGAATCACTGGCAGCTGGGTGGAGGATGAAATTGAGATGAGTAGGGATAGTGAGAACTATTAATAACACATAAAATACTTTAAGCTGCTGTAAAATTAAGCCAGAGGGGCATTCAAAACAGTATGTTATTGCATGGTAGGTCAAAATTAAGCTCTGGAGCACTAAGGAAGTAGGCAGGGTTTGTACTACTACAAAATTCTACAGCTAGGATGTCATGGTTAACTCAATACTCTTTGAGGGGGGGAAAAGAACCCTCAATCCCGAAGACCCAAAGTTAAGAGAAATACAGATTGGTAATGTGACTCTCCAAAGATTTCTCTAAAATTTCAAAGCACAGATAATTTGACCTTGTTTTGCCTCTTTTAAAAAATCTCTTTTGGGTAGGAAAGAAAAGAAAAAAATGGCAAATAGGATTTAAAAGAACCACAAAGAATCAAGTCAGAAGAAATCTTATAAATGTTAGGTTGATTTATAAGAGCTACTCTGGGAAGTCACACAGTTTGTTTACAATACGAAGTCATCAACTGTGAACATACTGTACATGGCGATTAGAAGTCGTCATGGCAAGAGAAAACCAGACTGCCTGCTGCAGCCAACACAGTAACAACCAGAAAACAGCCGAGAAAATGTAGGGATTAAGTTAGGGTTGTTTTTTTTTTTTTTTAATAAAAGAAAAAAATAACTTCAGAAATCTTAACATAGGAAAGGAGTATTTCACACTTAGAAGACACCAGAATACAAATTACAAGTGTTTGACTTCAGTCCCATCCCTATCTCCTCAAAGATCAGAGATAAGACAGTTGACACAAACAAGTGATTCTGTAAGAGAAAGACTTAGAAACTCTACAAATGATTAAAATCTAAACTTATTTTTGCTTTTTTAAAAAAATTTTTTTAATATATCAAAAGGCCTGCTTTAGTGACATGCTACTCCCACCAGAAAATAACCCCAATACCCCCTTGTCGGTAACATGCTCAAGTTGACCAGCCAACTCTTTATATCTAAACCCCTGTGTGTGTACAAATACAAATTTGCCTTACAAACTTCACAAACCAAAGCCACAGGGCTCAGGTGACTGCTGCTAGTAACCTGCTTCCACCTGCTAACTGACCAGTTTCTACTCCCTTCAGAAGGGTGGGCACAGAGAAACCCTCAAATGGTAGTGAAGGAATTCACAGCCCCAAACTGCCAACCTTTCAAGAATTGCCTCCCCCATCCCTTCTCAAAAGGAGACCCTTACTTCTAATCAGACTTGTATCAAATTTGTCTCCCAGGGACTCCTTTTCTCTCTCAGAAAAACACACACACCCACACACCCATATATATAATTTTTTTGTTTTTGCATTTAAATATAAAAATACTAATCTGCTTTGTGTTATAAATGGAGGACCAAGCAGTAAGAACTTTTTCTTCTTAAGGTAGGGATATATCCATCAGTTGATTCTGAGTTTAGTTGTCAAGCTAGGGCAGTTAGCCCCAAGCAAGGACTTTGGACACAAGAGACCAAGGGCATTTTCCTTCCTGGTCTCTTCCCTCCTTTCTCTCTTAATTTCCACTTCTAATGTACAGTTGGTAACACTCTTTTTAAGAACTAGAATTTCCCATCAAAAGAAGGAAATCCTAAGATAACCACAGAATAAGTCAAGCCCTCCCCTCTTCAGCTACCACAAAGAAAAAGTTCTCCGCTCCTCCCTTCACAAACACTTATGCTCTGTCTGGATAGCTATGCCTATTGGACAAACACACCTGATTAAATGGAAGCAGTGGTTATGTTTCCCAACCCCCCCTCCCCACTAATGCACTATTCCTTAGTCTTCAAGAAAGCGTCATTGATAGGGAAAAAAAGGGGGGGGGGGTAGGTGTGAAGAGATTAAGAATTGACCCCTCTACCCTGGCCCAATAAAAGCAAGTTATTAACTGGGTATGAGGAATAAAAAAGACCTTGATATTCTGCCCTTTGAGTTATAACTATTAGGAACAAGTGGGAGAGGGGAAAAGTGGGAGTGGGATGAAGAACTGGGAGGGGTTTGATGCTGGAAGTCTAGTCCACTTAGTTTTTATACTGGAAGGGCTCATCGCCGGTCTCATTAAGCAGACACGTGCGGATGAGGGCTTCTGTCACCGAGTACGGATCACAGTTGGCAGAGGGGCGGCGGTCTTCAAAGTAACCCTTCTTCTCCTGGCCGACAGTCCGAGGAATGCGGATGCTGGCGCTACGGTTGGCCACGCCAGCAGAAAAGTCGTTGATGTTGGAGGTTTCATGGAATCCAGTCAGGCGCCGGGCATTGTCCAGGCCCCCTTTGGGATCGTAGGCACGGATGTGGTACTGATGTCTCTTGCTTAGCCGCTCGATGGACTCTTCAATGTACCTAGAGGACAGAGAAGATTGACGGTCTGACCTTAGCACCAGGAAACCTGCCCCTCAAGGGCAGGGAATAGATACAGGTCAAGGAAATGGGGTGACCAAAAAAATGACCCGTCTATTAAAAAGCTTCCCAGTTCACTAGGCTCCAAAGTATACTTCTAGTAGAATGAACAATGAGTCCTAGTGGGGCAACAGTTAAGCACTTAGCTGCTAATGGAAAGGTTGATGGTTCAAACACACCAAGTGGCTCCATTAAAGAACTGGCAATCTGCTCCCGTAAAGATTACAGCCTAAGAAACCCTAGGGGCAGCTCTGTCATATGTGGTCACTATGAGTCGAAATCAACTCGACAGCATGCAGCAAAACACTCCACAAGGGCTTATTCTGCCTTGTTATCTCTGTGTTCCAGTGTTTCAGAGTACCTGACACACAGTAGACAACTGAGCAGTATTTGATGAAAAGGCCCCAATCACTTGGCAAGACTTTCTCCCCCTCTGTAAGCATGTTTACTCACAAGTCTATCCTGTTACTAATTTAGTTCTTACAAAAGGTTTTCAAACTCATGAATCTATTTGTCCCTACCACCACCCTCAATTCTATTAATAGGACATTACTTGATACTTTTCAATTGGGAACATAATAGGAGAAGAAACATTTTAAAGCAAAGTGCCAAGAGCTGAGGGACATCTAGACAAACTGGGAATCCCAGCATCCTTATCCCCAATCCAGGAAAAATTTGGCAAGTATTCTTGAAAAGGAGCTTTGCCGAGATTGGTATGGCCTTCCCAAGCTCTCTAAAGAGCTATCTGGTGGTACAAGTGGCAAGGCATTTGGCTGCTAATAAAAGGTCAGCAGTTTCAATCCACCAGCTACTCTGTGGGAGAAAGATGAAGCAGTCTACTTCCGTAAAGATTTACAGCTTGGAAGCCCTATTGGGCAGTTCTACTCTGTCCTACAAGGTAGCTATGAGTCAGAATCAACTCAATGGCAAGTGGTTTTTTTGGTTTGTCTCAAGCTCTCTGCCACCTGAGAATAAAGATGGCTTCAGTAAAAGGTACTCACTTTAGACCATTCTCTTCTCGCATGGCCTTGGTGCTAAAGTTGGTATGGCAGCCCGCACCATTCCAGTTCCCAGGGATGGGCTTAGGATCAAAGGTCGCTATCACTCCAAAGTCTTCACATACACGGTGTAGGATGAAACGGGCCACCCACAGATGATCCCCCATGTCGATTCCTTCACAGGGTCCTATCTGGAACTCCCACTAAAGAATGAGAAGGTTTGCCATTAAAATAAAGTCGAGAGCTACCCCCAACTCAGAAGCTCTTAAAACTGCTCTCTCCCCACCTCTACTCTAACTCACTCATTTAGTTAATGAGTGGTGCACCACCACCCCGTGTTAGCAAAAGTCCCACTGGCCTGCCCTAAAGTCTTCAGATATGGAATAAATGGTAGAACAGAGCAATTTACCTGGGCAGGCATGACCTCGGCGTTTGTTCCCCCAATCTTGATGCCGGCATATAAGCAGGCCCGGTAGTGAGCCTCCACGATATCCCTGCCATAGGCTTTGTCTGCTCCCACACCACAGTAATATGGACCTGGCAGAGGCATCAAGACAGAATTTTCAGACTGTGTCTCCCCCCTCAATCCTTGCACAGAGGATCAGTGACTAGATTTGGGTAACATAAGGGCTATGTCTCCTAACAGATTATTCCAGCCAATTTCAGGTATATTCGTACAGTTTTTGATTCAGAAAGAGTAAATTCCATCTCTGGGAAGAAGGGCTTTCTTTGCCAATTAAGTTACTTGGGGAGGAGAAGGTTCACCTCTTACCCAGAGGGACTTACCTTGGGGCCCAGGGAAGCCATTGGAAGGCCAACCAAAGGGATGCCCATCTGTCCCCATGAGGGTGTATTCCTGCTCCATTCCAAACCACGGGTGCTGGTTGCTCACCATATCCATTATCCGTTTACAGGTGTTCCTTAAATTGGTTTCTAGAATAAAATGATAACATGCTGTTAGGGACATATGAACCATATGCTGGCGAATCCTGATGCTGATGGGAAGATGGTTCTCATATTTTATGCAGATGAGATATTCACTGTAAACTAAGCTGGCCTAGAACAAACTTTTCTGTGTCCTATACCTCAGGAAGTGGGGGAAATGAGAAGTTGTAACAGTCCTCTTAGAGCAAGACTCCAGGAAAAACTTTGGTTATAATTAAACTCAGTTACAACCAAGTCACATGGGAGCGGGCCCAGAACAGAACAAATTTTCCCCTTATCTGCATGCTGGCCACCTCTCAAGTACCAAATACCAGGCACTTAAATCCTCTATTCACAAGACAGCTGTTTCTAAGTTGACAGTCGTCTTCCTACTTTCACAGGCATTTTAGAATCAAATCGACAAGTTTTTGAGGGAATCATTTGTCCATTATAAGAGCTTATATTTCAGGTGAGAAGAGTAAGTGGTAAGTTATAAATAGTAGCTAGTGCAAAAGTAAACCAGAAAAAATTTGAGCTAAGGCCAAGTGGATACAATTTTCCAAGCTAGAAAACCCACTGCTGTTGAGTTGGACCCAACTCATAGTGACCCCTTCTTGGGTTTCCAAGGCAGTATCACATCATTACGGAAGTAGGTTGCCCAACCTTCCTTCTGAGGAGTGGCTGGTGGGTTTGAACCGCCAGCCTTCTGGTTAGCAGTCAAGTGCCTTAGGCACTATGCCACCAGAAGAGAACTTTAAAATATTAAGTAAATGCAAGACTTATTGTTAACTGCTTATTTATATAACAGGAATCATTTAAAGACTTTTATATAAAAAAAAATTAAGACCTTTATAGGATCCCTGGTGGCACAATGGTTACACTTAGTTACTAACCAAAAAGTCAGCAGTGCAAATCCACCATGAGAGAAAAAACTTGGCAATCTGCTCCTATAAAGACTTCTTGTTGTTATGTGCCGTCGAGTCAGACCTGACTCATAGCGACCCTTCCTTGGGCTGCCGAGGCAGTATCACTACGGAAGTAGATTGCCCAACCTTGCTTCCGAGGAGTGGCTGGTGGGTTTGAACCGCCAGCCTTCTGGTTAGCAGTCAAGTGCCTTAGCCACTACACTATCAGAGCTCCCTATAAAGGCTACAGTCTACAAAACCCTATGGGGTAGTTCTACTCTGTCATAATAGGGTCACTCGAAGTTATAACTGACTTGAAGACATACAATAACAAGAAACCTTTATATTTAAAAAGGTCATACAAAGACCTTTACATTAACGAAAAACAATTCACTGAGTGCTAATAACTACCCTACCAGGTAGGTATAAGTTGCCTTCATTTTTATAGATGAGAAAACTGAAGTACAGAGATATTGTTGTTGTTGTTATGTGCCACTGAGTGAGACCCAACTCACAGATAACCCTCTCCTTGGGTTTCCGAGGCAGTATCACTACAGAAGTAGATTGCCCAACCTTCCTTCCAAGGAGTGGCTGGTGGGTTTGAACCACCAGCCTTCTGGTTAGCAGTCAAGTGCCTTAGGCATTACACTACCAGAGCTCCCACTGAGACACTAGGTTAACTTGGTCTGTCAAAACAAAGGAAATGAAGGTCCAGAGATACTAAGTGACTTGTCAAAGTTCTCACTGCTGAACAGTAGCAAGACTTCACAGAAGTCAGGCTTAGCTGGTTTTAAAAAGGGGAATGGCAGAGAACCAGGTCCAGGAGGACCAGGCACACCATACAGGCTACTGGTGCCAACAGGAACCCAAGAGAACAGTTACAGCAAACCTCATGGTAAACTTACATTATAGGAAACTAAGATTTTCACATTGTAGCCAGTGGGCAGATATATAACAAAACAAATAAGCTGCCTGGGGTGAGATAGCAACCGATATTTGATGTGTAACAGCTCTAAGGGAATTGCACATATTTATTCATTTATTCTATTATTTTCCCCATTTGGAAACCGGGGAATCGAAGGCACAGATATTAAATACCTTGTATCAGTTCACAGCCAGTAAGTGGTACCAGCCTGAAACCCAAGAATTCTGACTCTAGAAACTAAGTTCTTAAAATATACGTTTTATGCTACAGGTCTGTCTCTGTGTATGCCACCAGTAAACAGCTATAGGAAGAATTCACACCATTTTACACAATCAACTGAGACCAGGGAAGCCTAGGCTATGTTACACCTCTTTGTAAGACTCCTGAACAGTTCTGAGATAATCTATTCTTCCCAATACTGATTGTAGAACGCCCTCTCCCTCCCTTTATAGCAGCCCTGGATTGGGGTGGGGTCACCCATACCCATCCTATACATACCTGCAGGTTTTCGGTTGTACTTAAAGACTTCACAGAACACCAGCTTGTTAGGGTCCTTGCGGAAAGGGTCCCGAAACATGGCCACTGGGATAAGATACATGTCACTGTTGGAGCCTTCAGACTGGAAAGTACTGGAGCCGTCAAAATTCCACTCGGGTAACTCTACAGTAAAAAGAGGACAGGGACAATTAAGTTAAAAATGCACAGAAGCTTAGCAGGCAAGAATACAGCCCCTCACTCACCTCTCCATCTCTAAATCTCTTTTTCCTGGGAAGGTCAGTAATGCCTAAATGCCACCATCAACATTAAACTCTCGTATTTGTCTGCATTTAGTCCTACAGTCTTTCCTATCCAAGTTCCAAGTAACACTATTTCCTTAAAGGTTAGGGAGACCCTGAAAATACGGTTTCTTTCCTAAATAAGATTACTGAACACCAAGGAAACAATCTCACACATTCTGACATCACTAATGAGTCAGCCACCATTTGAGAAATATTGAGACAGGAGAAAGATTCTTAAATTCTCCCACAAGGCCATCTGTGTTTTCTTTCTGCAATTCATTGAGTCGATGATTGTTCTAGCTCAAGTTATGTCTTTTTTAATAGATGAGGAAACAGAGAACTAGAGAATAACCTCAAGGATACTTCCTTATCACTTAATCCATGCTGCTACAAAGAAAGTTCATCTATGTAGATATACTTTCCCCAGTAAGTTTTAAAGGCCAGTTTGTCTCAGACCCTTACCTTGCATCTCCCCCTCCTATACCCCACACCTTTCCAATACCTGCCACACAGCAGTACATGTTTTGTTATGGTAACTCATTCATTCGTTCACTCAAATGTGAAGATTATTAGAAGCCAGTAAGTGGTACCAGGCCTGAAACCTAAAGTAGGCAGAAGATGGGTGTGTTCTTTTTCTGGCCCTTTTCCAGGAAGTAGCTTGCTCTAGATTGAAAAATGAAAGCCACAACTCCAAAGCAAACTATTAACAAAAAGCTCTAAGTGAGTCCACCCAGAGACACTTGGCGTGGTGTCTACCTCGGAAAAATCAACTATTAAAAAAAAATTCTACGTAGTCTAATTTTACTATGACACAAATGGGGTCGCAGAAGTCAGAATCGGCAGCAACTGGCATGGTGGGATAAGCAAATGCATTTAAGAATTTCCAAAAATGGCAGCAACTTAAACAAATAAATACGTAACTAATTTTATTTAGAAAGCACTTTAGGGCATTTAAGGAGCTCTGGTGGTATAGTGCCTAAGGCATTAACTGCTACCAGAAAGTTGGTGGTACAAACCCACTAGCCACTCCACGGAAGGAAGACTGGGTGATCTATTTCCATAAAGATTTACCACCACGGAAACCCAAAGGGGGTCTCTATGAGTCAGAATCTACTCGATGGCAGTGAGTTTGTTTTTTTAGGGCATTTGCTTACATCTAGAACCCCAGTGATAAGTTTGAAACAGACATATTCAGATTAGAGTAGTGGTGTTCAAACTGAACTACTGGGGGTGTCTTTACTATGGTATTAGTTGCTATCCAGTCGATTCTGACTCTCGGCAATCTATGTGTGAAGAATTAAGCTGCTCTATCAGGTTTTCAAGGAGCTCTGGTAGCATAGTGCCTAAGGCACTTGACTGCTAACCAGAAGGCTGGCGGTTCAAACCCACCAGCCACTCCTCGGAAGGAAGGTTGGGCATTCCTACTTCCGTAGTGATACTGCCTCGGAAACCTAAGGAGGGGTCGCTATGAGTCGGGGCCGACTCGATGGCAAATAATAACAACAATAACAACATAGGGTTTTCAAGGAGTTCTGGTGGCACAGTGCCTAAGGCATTTGACTGCTAACCAGAAGGTTGGCAGTTAAAAGCCAGCAGCTGCTCTGTGGAAGGAAGACGGGCAATCTACTTCTATAAAGATGTACCCCCTCAGAAACCCAGTGGGGGTCGCTATGAGTCAGAATCGACTCAGTGGCAGTGAGTTTGGTTTTACTTTTTATAGGGTTTTCAGGGCTGTGACATTTTGGAAGCAGATCGCCAGACCTGCCTTCCGAGGCATCTCTGGATGAATTCAAACTACCAACTTTTTGGCAAGTACTTGAACACTCAGATGGCCAAATCATCAAAGTCTCTAGTTCCCCACTCCACAAACTAGAGTGCTTACTTTTTTCTTCAATATACTGGCTTACATGCAAGATTCCATTTAAATAAAGGATTCTATCATTGCTGTGTATCGAGGCCATGTAGGAGCTTAATATATGTTGATTGAATGAAGTCTGAAAAAACTGCCTAAGGAAAGACTTTGTTTTGGTTGAAGGTAGCTGCCCATCTCTACACTGCTCCTACACAGAATCTACCGTACCCTGCCGAAGTTCTCACCTTCTACACACTTGGGCTCAGAGTCCAGGGTACGGGTCTTGCAGCGTAGACCTTCTCCAGTGCCATCGATCCAGATATACATGGCTTGGACTTTCTCACCCTGAGGCAAAGCCATGTACACCTGCTTGATGCCTTTGTTCAAGTGAGAACTTGCTGAGGTGGCCATGGTGGAAGATGTTCTGGAGTGAAAAAAATAACGTTAAGTACATCAACTCCAATCATCTAATTGAGAGGGACAATTAAATCAAAGGTGGACACTACCCTCAAGAAGTCAAGAGTGGGAGTAGCGGCAGCCCCTTCCTTTGAAGTCACATACCCATAGGTGTATTTATCCAATCTGCATTCAAAGGGATTAAAGATTTATACAAGACAAAAATATCATCCTAAAACTGTAAAAACCTTTTGAGGAGATTAAAGTAGATGCCTGCTGGAGAAAAAAACAGTGGTAATCTTTGACCTTTCTTCTCTGCTGAAGTTCTGCAACATCTTTAAATTCAAGGCTTTCTTTTCCAAGCTACAATCTAAACTTGTGACAACTAACCCCTATCCTTTAGTGTAGCTGAGGTAGAATTATGGAAAGCATTTTCTGCCAAGATACTAGGGGTAAAAACTAACAAACTACTAAGGTTCAAAAATAGGAAGTTTACAAAACTGGTATCGTCACCTCATAAAGGCAAAATCCAGACACAGAAAGGCTTGGCTGCTATGGTTTCTGAGTGAGTCTTCCCTATGCCTTTCATCTCAGTTGTGGCCTTAATAAAAGCCCCCTTTTGGAGTTTCTCCCTCCCTTTGTGGGGACAGACCCAAATATTCAGATTTAAGGATGAAAAACAGGGCTAGCTGGAAGATTTCAAAGGCTAGATAGAGTCTTCCTACAAAAATGAAGGAAAGGAACTGCAATTATTACCATCACCAAGACTTAAAAATAGCTACCAGCCCCAGTTGGATTCCACTGCCATAGTTTCCACTGGTCTGAAGCAAAGTTCTCACTTCAGAACAGGGGCTCATATTTACAAATAAGTTTGAGAATGACAATACAGACAAACCTCATTTTATTGCTCTTCACTTCATTGTGCTTTGCGGGCACTACGTTCTTTTACAAACTGAAGGTTTGTGGCAACCCTACCTTGAGCAAGTCTATCAGCACCATTTTCCAACATCATGTGCTTGCTTCCTGTCTGTCACGTTTTGGTAATTCACAAAGTACTTCAAGCTTTTTCATAATGCTACTGCACACTTAACAGATGGCACTATCGTGTAAACATAACTTTTATATGCACTAGGAGACCTAGAAATTCATGTAACTCACTTGATGGTGCTGGTTTGGAAACTGAACCCTCAGTATCTAAAAGGTATGCCTGTACTCTGAGATTCCAACAGACAACTTTCCAAATAATTAGGAATTGCCATTTCTAAATCAAAAAGATCAGGACTTTCAAAAGCTTTGAGGCATGCTAAAAACTGCAAGCCACCACCAGAAAACCTCTAAAAGAAGAGAAAATTCTGAGGCCACAAAACCAGCCTCAACAAGAGGAAATGTTCTTCTCCATGCCACCACCACCCCCCACCAAAAGGCCCAGAGTAGCTGGAAAGGGAACACATTGTTCTCCTCCACGACTTGGGCAACTTTCTGCAGTACAGTGGCTAAGTTTCTATGGGCAATCGTCCATGTTTGCCCAGCTGAAAACATAACTGCTTCTCCTTTCCAACAGCCTCACCCTTCCCTTTGGGGAAGAGAAGAACCTCATCTGTCAAGTCTTATTAAAGGAGAACCAACAACTTTTGCCTATATCTAGAAGACTCTGTATGTCAAATTATACCCCCTTTTCCCAATTCCCTGCCTGAAGAACCAGCAGAAACACTCTCTATCCCTACCATTCCCACAAACAGCTACAACTCAGTTTCTCAGCTTTCCCCCTCAACCTGTTTGTTAACACTTCTAACATCAAGCCACACTTTCTCTCTTGACTCGGTGAAGCATGTCTCCTACCCTCTCTGATGATCTGAGGATGCCAACAGCCCAGTCTACTATAGCAACTGGTGCCTTCGAGGTGCCAAGTTTTACGTGGGGGCAAAAATAGGGCTCTGAAGCTTTTAGCTGTTTCTGCAGCTGTCACCGGCTCCGGAGTTCTCTCTCTGTGCACCCTCACTCACCCCAGCCAATAGAAGTCAGTATTTCCGGGGTCACCCCCTAACTTAGCCCTCCTCTTTCTTGACTTCTGTTCATGATTCTCCTCGATTTCCGGCTCCTGCTGGTCCAAACACCGTTGCTTTCTGGCTGAGGGTGAGGGAGTGGGAGACGGAGACTGAGCGCGCTCCGGCCTGGTGAGGCTGGAAAATGCAGGCTGGTGGGTTAAGGTCCTAATTTTGAGTCGCGATTTCTCTCCGGATTTCACCGAATAGGCCACGAACCCAAAACAGTTGGAGGGTGACTCCGAGGAGCGCGACTCTGTGTCGTCCACATCGTACTTGTTCATTGCTTTGTGGCTGGAGGAGCGGACCCGCTTCCTGCTCCCGGGGGAGTTAGAATCCACTTTGAGACCAGCCCTTTCCCCCAGAAATGTTCCGAACGTCGGCGCCCCGCCCCTCGGGCCTAGGTCCAGATCTTAGGGCCTCACCAAGGAGGCCATACCCCTCAGAGGGCAGAGGCTGGGGGGCGGGAGGGGCGACGGGAGAGAGGGAGGGGGAGGAAGGCGCGGCGCTCGACTGCCGCCTCGGCCCGGCCGGTCCACTAGCCGCAGCCCCGGGCTCCCCATTGTTCGGTCATAAGTATATGACCAGAATGTCATAAGTATATGACCAGAATTTCCCCGGGACTTCGGGGCAGAGCCCAGCGGCGCAAACAAAACACACGTTATTCGCTTCAACGTAGGCGTCTACATGACAACACCACGACTATCTTCCAAAATCCGCCACCGCGGAACAGGAGAGCAAGGCGCTAGCGCCTACGAGGCTCTGCGTGCGCTCCCGCAGGGCAGGGGAGCACAACCACTCCATCCACAACCTAAACACCCAGACCTTAAGGCACTGGGCCCTGGAGGGGGGCTCGACAGGTCTGCCCCACGAGAGGCCTGCAGCGAAGTCCCTGTGGGCCGCAACAGCGAAAGATCAAAACAACCTTCCCCCTAACCCTACTTAAAACCGAGAGAAGGGCGCGCCCCAAACAGCAACCCATCCGCCAGTCTTTACCGACGGCGGAAGCACGCGGACACCTCCGACACCCCCGGGAGGCCGAAAGCTCAACAGAGGTCTGGAAGAGAAGGAGCCACGAAAGAAAAGGCCAGGGTGCCGTGCCGTGACGGGAGAAACGTCTGGGGACAGGACGCGCGTGCTGACCGCGCCTTGGGGGAAGCCGAGCACTTATACCTGGGCGGCGAGCAGGCTGGAGGGAGGGCGGGCCGCGAGAGCAAGGTGAGGAGAGACCGGGAGACCAGGTGTACGGGTCAGACGCTCGACTCTACTCCCATTCTCGGCTCTGAAGAGCGGCCCACAGCCCAGCACTCTTTATCAGCGGCAGGGGGCCGCCCCCGGCACCCTGATTGGCTTCCAGCGGCGGGGAGCGCGGACTGATCAGCTGATGTGCGCCCAGGCACTGCGGCCATTGGGCGAGAAGCCGTGAGGGCGCTGCCGGGTAGGGGAGCGCGAGCAAGGGAAAGAAAGAAAGAGAAAAGGACGTGGGGGAGGGGGCGAGGGTGGAGAGTGGAGGGAGGAGGCGAGGAGAAGAGGGGTTGGGTGGTTGCGCGCCGAGCGCGCGAGTTCCTGCTGAGGAAGGACCCCGCCTGCCGCAGGCTCGAGCAAAACAACCTAGTTCGCCTGGCGGCTGGGGCAGAGTTCAATCCCGACCACAGACCTGAAGCCGCCCTTGCAGCCCCCTACAACTAAGACTCATAGAAAACTGCCCGGGGCAGCCAACCCCGCTGCCTTTCTGGTCGTATAATTTTGCAAGGAGAGTGGAGCGTTCCATCTTTTCCCAGGTCATACCTCAGACTCCCGAGATACCCGTGGTAATTATGTAGCACAAAACCATTTTGGCTTTTAAAGTCCCAGAATAGCCCAGCCCCCCGTGCCTCGCCCGCTCGTGGTTAAGTTTGAGAGGGAGCGCGGGGCGCGGGTGCGCTGGAAGCCCTAAGCTTGTCTAGCGATGGCAGGTATTGCAAGGGCCTAAAGAGGAGACAGGAGCTCTGGTAGCATAGTGCCTAAGGCACTTGACTGCTAACCAGAAGGCTAGCGGTTCAAACCCACCAGCCACTCCTCGGAAGGAAGGTTGGGCATTCCTACTTCCGTAGTGATACTGCCTTGGAAGCCCAAGGAGGGGTCGCTATGAGTCGGGGCCGACTCGATGGCAAATAACAACAACAACAAAGAGGAGACAGCACATAGACGGGGCTGCTGAAGAGAGGTTGGGGTTCCTAAGGCCTGGAAGAGTCCCCTCCCAAGCTCTCTCATTGGGTTTTGGGAAGTGGACAGAACTCTGCTATTTCATATTTTTAATCAACTTGCAGTGTTTATATAATTCCATTGAGAAGGCCTTGGGGGACGGTACAGACCTGTCTAATAAGGTTTCTGTCAGACCTTAGGCTAGTAACTCAACCTCTTTGGACCCAAGTTTTCTTGTATGCAGAGTAAAGCAGTTCAAAGAGACCTTTAGAGCCGCCCACCAAATGTGTAATTGTGTATGCAAACTGTTGCCCAAGAGCAGCTGAAAGGAAAGTGAAATCTTACAATGCCCCTTGGAAGCCCAGGGTTGCTCAAAAATTTAGAATCCCTTAATAAATTTCCCGTTTTTGCTTTTCAAGTAAATTGTGCCTTCTTTCTGATCTGTAAAATGAGAGTACCTACCTTAGCTCCTCTCAGCTTTGGTGTGATGTTTGAGAAAATGTGTATGTGTGTGCAATTTTGAAAATGGATGCTGTCAACAGATGCACAATAATCATATTTTTAAAATATGTTATCGCTACCAGTCCTATTATTTGGCCCTTCAATTTTCATTCCCCAAAGTCCATCTGATGATACCTAACCTTTTATCACATTTCTCAGGGGGAATGCCAGCCTCTCAGACTTTGAAATTTTTCTGTTTAAAGACCAAGAAACCATACTTCCAGTGCCTTTGGAAGAGGAAAGAAAGAAGTGTGTTCTTTTGGTTATTTTTGTACCACAAATATGGAAAAGAAATGTTGCCTGAAACCACACACACATAACTTGGCTTCTCTGGTTAACATCTCTTTCCTTCAAAAGTGTGTCTAGCACTGTAATGCTTTTAAATGACAGATACAGCATTCTTATCAACAGGGGCTTTTGGACTGTTTCAGACTGTGACATTCTGAACACAAGGCATCTTGCACATGTAAGGAATTCCATATTTAGTTTCAGTGCTGTTTGTTGAAGTATTATAATGTGATGGTTAAATGTTGGGCTTCACACCTAAATTAAAATCTGGACTTTACCTCTTACTGAGTTACTCAGCTACACTAAACCTCCGTTCCCTTGCCTATAAAATAGTGATAATAGCTATCTTATGTATCATTGTGGAGCTCCTGGGTGGTACAAACAGTTAACATGCCCAATTGCTAACCCAAAGTTTGGAGGGTCTTCCACCCAGTGGTGCCTCAGAAGAAAGGCCTGGTGATCTACTTCCAAAAAATCAACCATTGAAAACCCCTTGGAGCACAGTTCCACTCTGACACACATGGGGTCACCATGCATTGGCATCAACTCTATGGCACCTGGCTTTTTACCTTATTAAATGTGCAAGGATTAATTGTGATAACATTTTTTTTCAAAAAAGAAATTAGGATAGTACCTGGAAAATAGTAAATGTTTGTTGTTTTTGCTGTTGTTAGATGTCACATTGGCTCTAACTCATAGCAACCCTATTGTACAACAGAACGGAACACTGCCCAGTCCTACGCCGCCTTCACAATCCTTTCTGTGTTTGAGCCCTGTTGTAATGTTTACTACTAGGAAATATTTGGAAAATAATATTTATAATTATCATCAGCTAAAATAATCTGAAGAGACTGGAATGTTTCTTTCCCTATACCACCCATTCACTCTTTAAGTACAGCTTTCTGACTCAGTGTAATACATCACCATTAGTTTTATGAAAGCGAGCTTAGATCTGGGAACAGAGTGGGCCATCTTTGTTCCATCTTTTTCTGTAAAGACTTGAGTTTAAATGGTTGGGGAGGGAAGAGGAAGGTGATGCCGAAGTGCCAAATTATAAACCAGGGCCTTCCACTACACTGTTACCACCAGCTCCTACAGTGGGGATGGCAAGAATAATAGAAAATGGAATACAAAAAAGCCAGTTCAGTTTTTTTAGCTTAAGGTATCACATTTTATGGTACAAGTGCCTACTTTCCTTGCTAGGTATCTTAACCTCGAGCTGCTAATTCATCTTTTTCTTCCCTGACAGTATCCAGGGTGAGTGTTCAGTAAATGATATTTGTTGACCACACAGAAATGACAGCGGCACCATCAAGAGAACATGTGCTTTGAGCTGCTTTTCCAAGAATGGAAATGGATTTTGCTTTGATCCATTCATGTGACCAGGGGCATGCTTTGTGAGGGTTAGGAACATAATACATGACCACTGACTCTTTCAGGAATGAACAAGAGGCCTTGTCTTCTTTGGTCAACCCCACACTTTCTCAAACCAACCAAATTAGGGCCCAAATGTGTCCAAAGACTTACTAGGGAAGCTTAAGAATGTATGAAGGAAGAGAAAGCAGAAGAAAGTCCTTTAGGTAATCGGTTTGCCCCAGAAACCCAGACTGTACGTTTAGAGAAGTTAAAAGTGGAATGGCCTGTTTCATCCAGTTTAACTTTGCTGTGTCTGCTACCTTTGTTCTCCCTCCCTTTCTTCCCTAAATTGCCACCCACCCCCACTTTCCACCCTCAGTAAAAAGAGCCTTAGAATGCTCAAACCCATGAACTTTTCTATCTCTTGGTATGTACAGTTTCAAAGCCTACAGGGTTCTGTTGTGTGTACTTAGAAGTCATGTTTTACTGTCTTACAGAAGAGTAGCTGTGTCCAAAGTGTGGGTGGAGTAGGAGAGCAGCATTGGAGGTAAGGATTGCTTCAAATATGCAAAAATGGTTGGAGATAAAAAAACATGTCTTCGCTGTTGTTCTGTTGCCTGAAATATAGGCCTTTTCTTGGGTGGGCCTTACCTGTGAGTTCTCTCAGCTTCCTTCTCTCTCTTTTAAAGGGCCTAGTCTCACTTGCAACCATCACTCATCTGACAGCTTGTCATACTGTGGTGGCTTGTGTGTTGCTGTGAGTCTGGAAGCTATGACACCAGTATTGCAAATGCCAGCAGGGTCACCCACGGTGGACAGATTTCAGCAGAGCTTCTAGACAAAGACAGACTGGGAAGAAGGATGGGGCCATCCACTGCTCAAATAATTGGCCACTGAAACTTTATGAATAGCAGTAAAATACTGTCTGATATATTATGAAAATAAATCTGTCCTGGATGAAGTACAGCCAGAATGCTCCTTGGAAGCAAAAATGGCCAGACTTCTTCTCATCTACTTTGGTCATGTTGTCAAAAGGGACTACTCTCTGGAGAAGGATATCATGCTTGGTAAAGTGGAGGGTCAGCAAAAAAGGGAAGACCTTCAACGAGATGGATTGACACAATGGCTGCAATGGTGGGCTCAAGCAAAGGAAGGATTGTGAGGATGGCACACGACCGGGCGGTGTTTGGTTCTGTTGTACATAGGCTCATCATGAACTGAAGCTGACTCAATGGCACCTAGCAATAAGTCTCACTTGCAAAGGAGCCCTGGTGGTGTAATGTTTAAGCACTTGGCTACTAAATCAAAAGGTCACTGGTTTGAACCCACCAGCCACTTCACAGGAGAAAGATGTGACAGTCTGCTTCTGTAAAGATTTGTAGCCTTGGAAACCCTATGGGGCTGTTCTACTCTGCTTTATATGGTCACTATGACTCCGAATGCACTGGCAATTTTTTTTTTTTTTTAATTTTTAAGTCTTGCAAGGAGTCTCTGGGTAGTGCAAATGGTTAAGTGTTCTAGGACTAGCTAAAAGGTGGGTGGCTTCAACCCACCCAGAGGTGCCTTGGAAGACAGCCCTAGTGATCTGTCTGAAAAGTCACAGCCTTGAAAATCTATGGAGCAATTCTACTCTGCACCCATGGGGTCACCATGAGTTGGAATCAACTCAACGGCAACTAACAACAGCAATGACATTCTCACTCACAAGTCTGAAGCCCTTAACCTAGTGATCTGAGAGTACTTGCCTGGGGCCTGTGTGGTTGCCTTGCACTAATTCTTCACTAGGAACAAGATTTGGGGTAGGGTTCAAACAGACCCAAACTTTCAGCCACAATGTGCAGTTTGGAGATCAGGAATTTTCCCTATATTTGGATGATTTCTATGGGTGTTCAACAAAACCCCTAACTCGGGCTAAAGAGACGTGGCTGAGACTCATGGTTGAGGAATATT